CCGCCGCGACGCGTGCGCAGTAGCCAGCCCGCGAGGCCACGCCCCAGTCCGGGTCCCGGCGGGCAGCCCCCAGCCCCACCGCGGGGCTGTCGGCCGGGCTCTGGTTGCGAGGTGCGGCGACGCTGGGAAGCACGCGGTCCAGCAGCAGTGGACACTGTCTTGTTGGCCACCGAAATAGGTGAACGCTGCTTAAGTCTGCAACAGGGATGTGATCAGCCCCCGGTATGGCGCCTGGATGAACAGCAAACGTCACATGAGCTTTGGGGGTGCGCTGCCGATTCCGTAACTTCCAGAGAGCAGAGACGACTCGGAGAGGTGGGGAAGGGGGCCTCCCCCAGCTCGTTCCCCAACAGGGAACTCGGGCAACCACCACACTCCAAACGCAGCCTCCCAGCAACCCTGCCATCCCGCTCAGGCTTGGCCAGCCTCGACCCCTCGCGGCTGTCACAGCAGTTAGTTACAAGCTGGTTTGATCCTGGAGACCTTTAGAGTGGACGAATGTTTGAAAACGAAATTAAGTGCCTATGGGCTAGATCCTTTGAGACCCGAAAATCTGTTCAAACGCTTGAATTATGACTGCAGAGTCTTGTTAAGGAAGATGATACTGAGAATGGGCTCATAAAAGATTAGTAACATTATTTTGACAGTACATTTAGAGCAACGGCCTGCAACAGGTTTATCAATGGAATGGTGTGGGTTTGGTTGAAAGGAGCAGTTTTCTTCATGGAAAGAATTTTATAACAGTGGCAAAATGTATAGAAATAATAATTAAAAAGGCTTTCTGAATATTCCCTTCCGATGTTAATTACAGAATTATCTCGATCACTTGCATAATCAGAAATTTTCCAAATACACAAATAACCGAACATCTTGTTAAGGAAACACGCTTAAAAATGGGATAACTTGCTTTTTTCTTCCTTGACTTTTTCTCAATTTTCAAGGAAAACTTGAGCTTACAATACTGGTCTTCCAACCGAGGTCTAAGAAACGAGAAAATTAAAATAGAACAACTTGCTTTTTTCTTCTTTGATTTTTCTGAACAAGTTCCATGGAAACTTTTGCTTCATACAGTGGGATGGGTTCATCCAACTGAGGTCTGAGGAAAAAAAATTATTAGAAATGTCAGAGGTAGTTACAGACGAACAGAACACACAGGATGGTAGTGGACAGTTGCTACAGCGGTTATATAACTAAATAATTCAAGCTAACTTGTCCATTAGTGTTTCTACAGTTGAAAGTGGTTAAATTTTCAAGGAAAAAAAGATCCATAAAATCCCCTCCCTATTGTGTAAGTGGTAAACACATCTAATTTAAAATCTCATTTAAACAAAGAAATAAACATACTTTTCCTTCTTCTTCTTCTTTTTTTTTTTTTTTTTGTCTTTTTGAGACAGTGTCTCGCTGTGCTGTTCAGGCTGGGCTTGAGCTCACTTTGTAACCCAGGTTGGTCTCAAACTCGCAACGATCCTCCTGCCTCAGCCTCCTGAGTGCTACTGTTCCTTCTTTTCAAGCCATGGATTCTTTTAAGTTATTTTGAGAGGGATGATGATGAAAAGCAAAGGCTGAGGTGAAGAATGGCACAGAAGGAAAACTCACAGGCTACCTACATGTTAGGATTTACTGGCACACTACCAGATGCACTCTGAGAAATGAGAGCTCATCTAACCCAGTGATGGTGACCCTTTTACAGCTTCATTGAAACAAACAGCCTGCTGTGACACGCACGCTGAAGGCTGGCTACCACTGAACCTAAATAGTGTGGAGGCCACAGGTGCACTCTAAAAGCTGAAACAAAAATGAAATGCCGAGTATCTCCCAGAGAATAGAAAAGTAAACAAAAACAACCGTTTGATTACTTCAGCATACCTAAAAACACCAGCTGATAACTTCTCCATCACGTCTTTTAAGATGCGTAGCTGGAAGGATTGTTAAGGTGACAATTTGAAAGGAGGGAGGATTACATAAAACCATTCAATAAGTAAACTGTTAGGCAGGTCACATTCTCACTCTCAAAGTTCTGTACTATTAGAAATGCTAAGTGTTACAGAAACTCTGTAAGCAGTCAAGTCCATCTCTCAGGCAGAGAAATGACGTGAACTGGCTGGTGGGTAACAGAGCATAGACTTAAGAACAGGTGATGAGACCAGCAAGCCTCGTGCCCGAGTGATGACCACTGTTACCCCAGTGGACGGTAGTGGAATAGTGCACACTCACTTCTGCACTATGGATAGTATTCAGGACTTGCGTTAGGTTCAGTCCCCAGTACCACACACACACAACAAAACAAAATGAAACAAAAAACACCCCAAACAATTAAGTGAGCACACAAGCGAGCGCACTGAGGAACCTACTTACCGAACCCCCCTTTTAGCCACACAGTGGACCGCAGAGCAGGGGACACTGCTGCTGCTACAGGAGGGTAAATTCAAAAGTGTATTTCTTGCTAAAAGCACACTGCTTTGCTAACACTGTAAACTGGGAGAATCCTAAGAGCCATCATTAAAGCCAGGGGCTGTCTGTGTATGGTACACATTTCTTATTTTGAAAAATTGTTACTTCATATGAAAATGTCCTGCTTCAGTCTGGTCACGGGAGTTGTCAAATAGCTTAAAGTCACCTTCTCGTGGGTAGAGGGGGTTTGAGAACACACAAAAAGCATTGAACCTCGATTCCAACACGTAAGATTCAAAACACACCGATTAATGCTACTTACAGTAGCTATACAGGGCTCCCTAGTATCCCATGTTATCCTAGATAATTATAATATTGTTGGACATTTAAGGCTTTAAAAAAATGAAGTGAAAAATTTAGTAAAAAAGTATTTAATCAGAACTCACTAGACTCAAAAACACACTAAGCAAAGGAGCTTTGAAATCTCTTAAAACACATACAGTACACTTATAGCATATTATTCTGATTTTCATTTATTTATTTGAGTTTTGGAGACAGGCTCTCACTATGTCGTCCAGGCTGGCCTCAAAGTTGTGGCAATCCTCCTGCCTCACCCTCCCGAGTACTTGGACTACAGGTGTGTACTACCACACCTGTCACTGGAATTCTTAAGTTGATCCTGCTCTAGAGAATTCTGGACTTTTTGGAACTGCTTTCATATACTCATAGGAAATTTGTTTATTTTCATTACTTTTACCAAACCTACAGTTTTTTTGCTTCATTCACTAGATTTATCTTTGAATGACTTCTCTGTTTCTCTCTTTTGATACAGGGAAGGAACCCAGCGCCTTTGCCCTGAGCTACACCCTCAGCTCTTTAAAAAAATTTTTTTATTTTGAGACAGGGTCACACTAACTCCATTAAACTGTTCGGGCTGAGCTCAGACTTGTGATCCTGCTTCCTCAGTGGGACTAACAGGTGTACACTATCATGCCTGCTCACTTGTCTTTTTTAAAATGCAGATATAGAGAGCTGGAAATGGTGGTGCACGCCTATAACCCCAGCACTTGGGAGGCTGAGGCGGGAGGACTAACACTAGTGTGAGGTCAGCCTGAGCTACATAGTGAGTTTCAAGGGCAGCCTAAATTGCATAGCAAGACTTTCTCTCAAAAAAAAAAAAACCACCAAAAAAAAAACCAAAAAAAAAAAAAAATCAGACATAGCTGGACATGGGTGCACGCCTATAATCATAGCTACTGGGTTAGTTTAGGCAGGAGGATTGCAAGTTGGAAGCCAGCCTGGGTACTTTAGCAGGACCCTATCTTAAAATACAAAATGAAAAGGACTAGAGATACAGATCAGATTGACACCGAGTTCAGTCAATCAATCAGTAAATAATAAAAAGTACAGACACATCCTCATTTTATGATTTCCTAGCACTGATATTTGCAAAAACCAACTCTTTGCGTCAGATAAGCACACTGAACTGTTTTGTGCACTGGCACCATCGTGGGGTAGGTGTATAACCTTTCAAGTAGAATGTGTAGGGTCAGCTTAAAAACAAAACAAAACAAAACCGTCTACTTTCAGTTTATGTCCTATTCAGGAAGAAAGGAGAACACGTGAGTGTGACTCCAGCTCTTCCACTTGCTAGCTGTCTCCTTGGGGCTATCCTAACCCTTCCATGCTTCAGGTTCCTCCCACGTAGCTCATAGGGTTGTTTTCATGTTTAGATGAACACCTGCAAGGCACTTGGAACGCTTGGGCATGTGCAAGAGAAGCGAGCAGCTAATTATAATTTCTTATCATAATGAGAGAATTTATGTGAGAGTGCAAGACACATTTCAAGTAAGAAACTCAACCAGAAAAAAGGATATAAAGATATTTTCCCTGTTGTACGTTTGACAAATTCCAAACTTCATCATTAAGGAAAGCCACTGTTGCTCCTTTGAGGAAAAGGCAATGGCTATCTGGAGGATCCAACTTCAACAGAATAAAGAAAGACCAATCAATTACCGTGAGTTAAACAGCAGGAGTATGCTTCGTATCTTGAGCCAGACAAACTTCTATGCAAGTTAATGTCCAAGTCACAAACAAATCAGCCCATTTTCTGTTTCATGGTCCAGAACCATTATCCAGTAAGGGGCAAGGATAAAGCAGCTGCAGGGTCAATGCAGAATTGGTGATGAGGCGCTGAGGCTTTCTGGGTGCGGCTTCTGCCCCTTTACTCACCTGTCGCCTTCTTGAATGTGTTGGGAAGTCAATGAAGACTGGTATATAAGAAATACAGTATTTGCATAACAGCTATAATATAACTATTTACATACAACTGTTGCAAAATATAACTGCGAGTTAACTTACCTACACACATATATAATAATTACATTTCAATAACTAGGAAACTGTAATAATGTTACACAGAAATAATTTGTTAAGTATATGTCAACAATGTTTGTTACTAAGAAAAAATATTTGAAATAGAATTTAAAAATTCAGAAGTCACTATTTTAATTCACTACATAAAACTGCAATTCATTCTATGTAAATATCTTTTTTTTTTTTTTTTTTTTCCGGTACCAGGAATCGAACTCATGACCTCACGCTTGCCAGGCAGGTGCTGTGCCGCTGAGCTAAATCCCCAACCCCTTGTAATTCATTCTAACTGGAACTCCCTTGCTAGGCAATGTTTCAACATTTTGACCAACAAAAACCTAACACCAAAAAAGGCTACATTTCTTTAAACACAGGGTTTAATTCAGGGTTTATAGTAATTGAACCAGACCTTGCCTCAAATAAGACTTACACCTCATTTTCTGTGAATCACATTCCTGTGGTGCATTAGTTATGCTTTACCGTTTCTGGTAATACCTGGAGGTTTTCTTCTGTTGTTATCCAGTGGCCTCCGACACCAAGAAGTGTGATGATGTCATGCTTATGTGGTAGGAGCTGTAATTTTACAGGTGGTTCATCATCTTTATTATATAATCTCACTTATAAGTGCAGAGTTAAAAAAGAGAGAAGAAATATATTTTATAATAACCAGATTTATTCAAGTAAGTTCTTTAAATTTTTAAGATAGGAATGCAAAAGTAGTTTTCTCAAAAACAACATGCAGTGTCTTCAAGTACCTTAAAATATACTTTTTGCAATAAAACTGGTCATAAAATATTTTCTATACTTAAAAATAAAGGAAATAAATAAGGTTTACTTTTATTTGGAAACCAAGCGGTAATGTAATACATAATAAAGTCTTATAATGCTAATTATAACAATATAGCTTAATACAATGGAATGAGTTGCTTTCTGATTAAAACATCACATAGACTTGCTGGGCATGGTGGCGCACACCTGTAACCCCAGCACTCGGGAGGCTGAGGCAGGAGGGTCATTGTGAGTTCGAGACCAGCCTGCGCTACAAAGTGAACTCAAGGCCAGCCTGCACAGAATAGTGAGACTCTGTCTCAAAAAGACAAAAAAAAAACAAAAAACAAGCAAACAAAAAAAACACATCATAGACTCAAGGTAGTTAAACTTTGATGTAATTACTGAAATACACATTTGAAAAAATATGTCAATGAAGTATATATTCATTCCACTGAAATGTTTTGGAGTTTTAATTTTTAATCTGTTTATTTTTGATACTGTAGACTGACCCCTTCACACTGAGCCACATCACAAGTTTGTTTGTCTGTTTGTTTATTATTATTATTATTATTATTTTTTTTTTTTTGGTTTTTCTCCGGTACCAGGAACCGAACTCACGACCTCGCACTTGCCAGGCAGGTGCTTTTGCCGCTGAGCTAAATCCCCAGCCCCTTTTTTTTTGGTTTTTCTCCGGTACCGGGAACCAAACTCACGACCTTGCGCTTGCCAGGCAGGCGCTTTTGCCGCTGAGCTAAATCCCCAGCCCCTGTTTGTTTATTATTGGTTGGTAGTCTTACTACGTAGTTCAGGCTGGCCTCTAACTCACAGCCTTCCTCCTGCTTCAGCCTCCGGAGTGCTGGGATTACAGGCATGTGCCATGACACCAGCTCCCCAAGTCCTTTTTTTTTTTTTTTTTGTCTTTCTGAGACAGGGTCTTGTTATGCAGTTCAGGCTGGTCTCGAACTGGCAACGATCCTCCTGCCTCAGCCTCCTGAGTGCTGGGATTATAGGCGTGCGCCATGACACCCAGCTCCCCAAGTCTTTTTTAAGAGAACTTTTTTATATTGAGACAGGGTCTTGCTAAGTCATGAAACTGCCTAGGCTGAGCTCCTGCTTCAGCCTCCCAGAATGCTGGCTTACAGGTATGTCCTAGAATATTCTGTTTTTCTTATAAAGGAAACATCCATGATAGCCAGGGCTGTGTTCACAAGGTATAAGGAGAAGCACTTTGCAGGCTGGTTGCACTAACCCTTTAGAAGTGACAGTACCACCTAACTGTATATAGATTCGACGTTATTAAATAGATATTGGTTCAACTAAAACAGTTCAAGAAAGGAAAAACGGAACAAACCTCTGCATGGATTGTAACTAGAGACTGCAGAAGTCAACCATGCAATAAGCACATGCAAAAGTGAGGGTCAGTAAGCATCTGGGAACAACTGAGCATTTTAGGTTTTTTATAGAAATTTGTCACTGGTTACTTAAACTCGAAGACCTATGCTTGCTTGCTTGATTTATGTATTTTTGACACAGAGTCTCACTATGCAGTTCAAACCGGCCTTGAACTCACTTATATTGCCTGGGTTGGCCTGGGTCCTCCCGTCTTAGCCTCTGAGGGCTGGATTACAGGCATGCACCACCATGCCTGGCCCTAAGGCCTCTGCTTTGAAAGGCAAACACAGCCTCTCCTCCAGTGAGGCAGGGATTACAAGGGTAATAAAGTGATGATGGTTCAATTTAAATAGTCATGTGTTTGGTTGAAACAAAGTCTCAGGCTGTGGGCGTAGCTCAACAGTAACCCTTGCCTAGCATACCTGAGGTCCTGAGTTCAATACCCAACGCTGCAAAAACCAAAAGCAAAACCCCAAAAGCAAAATTCCACACATAAACAAAGCCCAAAATTAAACATCCAGTTCCATAAATGCATGAAGTTATTCCCTATAGTTTTTTCTGAAATTCATCAAGCTAAAAAGGTTGCACAGACGACCCGCAGACGTCACATACCCACCTCCAGCATCTAGCACAATATCTACTCCCAGGCCACCTGTTTCTTCCAGACAGCTCTCAGCAATGTGGACTTTCCCAGCAGAGACATCAATCACTCGAGCTGGAAAAGGCAGGAAGTCAGGCAGGTGTACTGTTCTCTACGTGACCAAGACAAGGTAAACAAAACCATGCAGATATCTGCTCTCTGAAACGAGTTCAGCAGTACAAACAATTACTACATTTACATGGGAAAAGGCAGTTCTAATTCCATTTTTTCTCACTGGCTCAATCTAAAAGAAGGGACTGGTATAGTCAATAAAGGAAAAATGTGAGCCTTTTTGCGCAAGGAAGCTGAAGGCTAGTGTGCTGACACAGAAGGCTGACTCTGCAGTCGCAGGAAACGTGGCCAGAACGGAGCCCAAGGGCCACGAGGTACGTATATACCGCACATGTTATGAACCGGAAGGTCCGGCACTTTCTTATGTTTAGATTTGAGACTGTTTAGTGCTAAATATATATTTATGCAGTCTGGTGAGTATCTACTAGCTGTTTTATCTTTTCTCAGTTACAGAAATCCCCCATCTCTCCCCTTACCCCCTAAAATGCAGAAAAATTCTGAAAGCAAGGAAAAGGAAAAAGATTATTTTTAGCAGTTGGTGAAAATTAAACTAATTTTTACTCTTTTTTTTTTGGCGTTTTGAGACAGGATCTCACTATGTAGTCTATGTGGTCTTGAGCTTGGACTACATATAGTCCAGGATAGCCTTGAACTCACAGCGATCCTCCTGCCTCAGCCTCCTGAGTGCTGCGATTATGAGTGTGCACTACCATGCCTGGCTTAAGTGGTTAATAACTAAAAGAAAAACGAATTATATTAATATATTAATAGAACAATATAAATGGAGACAACTTAAATTAGCAATTGAAGTAGCAATGGCAGGTTTAATTTTGTTCTTTTTTTTTTTTCCTCTGGTACCGGGAACCGAACTCACGACCTTGCGCTTGCCAGGCAGGCGCTTTTGCCGCTGAGATAAATCCCCACCCCTATATTTTGTCCTTTTTATTGTTTATTTTTAAATGTATATACTCCATTTTTGTATCATTCAACACCTTGTTAAAAAGAAGTCCTCACAGGGCTGCTCGGATTAGAAGTGTAGTCCAACAGTAATGTGGGGTATGGGAGGGACGACGGTGGGAAGACAAAAGGGAAAGAGGACTGAAGCAACCCAGAAAGAGCAGAACCCATAATGAACTTTGCCCAAAACTTTCTGCCTACTGTTTCAGCTCCCTCCCCATTCTAGTCTCTCTCTCGGTGGTGCTGGGGATCAAACCCACAGCCTCACACATGCTGGGCGAGCGCTCTGGCACTGACCTACAACCCCAGCCCTCCACTTCTTACTTCCAAGTCTCTTCTTTCTTCTCTTTCCGCCTTCTCAGCCCTTGTATTACCTTCCTTCCATTTCTTGGTTATCTCTGCCAGATGCAGAAAGTAGCCAGATAAAGTAGCACAGACTTTAGTGTTAGGTAGGTCAGGGTTCAAAAACCGTTACAGTCCTTCCTTGGGAAGTGAGTTAAATTCTGAGAAGCTACTCCTGCGCGTCCAGCCCCGGGCTGCCGAGACCTGAGAAACCCACGCTGCCTCCGTCAATATTATCTCCTTCCTGCCTGCCCTGCGCCACGCTCTGGCCACCTCCCCTTTGTTCCGCATCTGTTAGTTTCTCCGTTCCCTTCTCCACTCCTTTTTATTTTTCTTCTCTCAGGCTCTTATTTCCTTTTTCCTCACCATACTTACTGCTGTTTGGATAGGTTCAATTTTTTTGTCTCTGTTCTTTTGAGACAGGGTCTCGCTATGCAGTTCAGGCTGGCCTTGAGCTCACTTTGTAGCCCAGGTTGGTCTCGAACTTGCAAGGATCCTGCCTCAGCCTCCCGAGTGCTGGGATTACAGGCATGCGCCACCACGCCCGGCTGATAGGTGCAATCCTGTCAACAGCCTTTACCATGTACTGCTCATCTGAAACTATCTGACTTGCATTTTTGTGACCAAGGATCATCTGCCTTTCCAATGTAACACAGAAAACAGGAGACTTTAGAGGGTAAAAGAAGATGAGAAACATACCAAGTGATGTAGAAATATATTGATTTTATTCACTGAAACCAAAGAAGCAACAGGTATTGTTAAAGTTTGTTAAACTTTGCTTAATTTAAACCTGGGGAAGCTGTAACAGTGACACAAAGAAAAACATGGAGAAAGATGTAGGTTTAAAAAACTGAAGTAATTATCCTTAAGTAAATCCGGATTCAGCACAGATACTAAGTGCATCTAAAAAGTGACTCATTTGGCATTCTGCACTTCGTTTTACCAATGCGTTTTCTGATTTCCTTACAAAATGTCACACCCTAAAGTCTGGGCAGAGGAACGTTACCCACCTACAGGAGGCCTAAATCTTTCAAGGCACTGCTTGTCCTCCAGGCTGCACGCGGTTGAGATCACTCTGGCTCCTCTGTGGTGCGCTAACTGAATGGCTATTGAGCCAAATGCCTGTGCAGAAACGACATGCAACAGATTAGCACACGTAGCAGAGGCTGTACCCTCTGTACTTCCCAGACTTTTAACGAAGTGTCATTTTCACCGGGCAGGATGGCGCTGCCTGCAATCCCAGGACTGGGGAGGCTGAACCAGGAGGACTGCTGCGAAGTTTGAGGCCAGCCTGGGCTACAGAGTGAGTTCAAGCCCAGCCTGAATTGCACAGCGAGACCCTGTCTCAAAAAAAAATTTTTTTTAAAGGTGTTACTGTATTTTAAAATGCTATGCAATAGAAAAAGAAAAAAATTACCAATAAATTTAGTGGTGGAAATACCTGACTGATTTCCTTAGGACTGGTGGAGAAGTTGCCTGTGTCAAGGATACAGGGCCACATGAGGCATCACGGCCAGCAAGAGAAAAGTAGGCCCGTCCTGCTGCTGGCCTGGGCTGATGATACAGCTCGGGAGGGAGTCCTGCTACCTGTCCTCAGGGAGCCGAGAATTTAAAGCTCCCTCTCTTGGGGCCCACGGGGTAAAGCACGAGGAAACAATACTGTCCTGATGCTGGACATCAGGCAGAAGCCAAAACTGAAAATAGTTTTGCTTTTTTTTTTTTTTTTTTTTTTTTTCAAAGAAAAATAGAAGAGAAAGTATTTTCATAAATAGCCAGGTAGAAAATAAAAAAATTCATGTCAAAATTTGAAACTTTTAAAAATTATATTTTAATGTATTATTTTAGTGTCTTTAACTTTTGTTTTGAAGCCACATCCCCAGCCTTTTTATTTTGAGACAGGGTCTCTCTAAGTTGCCAGACTGACCTTGAACTTGAGATCCTCTTGCCTCAGCTTCCTAAGCAGCAGAGATCACAGGTGTGCCCCACCATGCGTGGCTTCAACTATTTTTTTTTGATGATATATGAAATATATTTAAATTAGAACATTCTGACCCTGTGTGTGATCCACCCATAAAATGCCCACACTTTAGCCACATAAATGTGGGATGAGATACCAAACCAGCAAGGAGCTCTGAAGTATGAACTCAGACTCATGAGCCTTTTAGGCTTTGTGTAACAGGAACGAATAAAAGTGGCTTGAACTGGAGTGCAGCCTACGGACAGAGTGCTTGCTTCGCATATGCAAGGCCTTAGGTTTGGTCCCCAGCACTGGGAGGAGGAAGTCTAGTTTGCTTTTTAATGTGACAGAAGATTCATAGTAATTAGAAAATAGCCAGGTGCAGTGGCACAGGCCTGTAATCTCAGCTTCTCTGGAAGCTGTGGCAGGAGAATTTCAAGTTTATGTCTAGCCTGGACCTGTCTTTAAAAAAACTAACAGGAAAGCTTTTTATAACCAAATGAGAGACTGGTCAAGAAACCAGTTAATAACGCGTTGGCAAGGACCTGGCAAATGGATGGCTCATTTCTAAATTCCCTACGTTTAGTGTATATTGGTCTATTTCTTAACAAAACCAGTGGCACCCACACTTGCTCCATCCATGATCAGCACTGACTTTCCGCAAGAGAGATGAGAAAGGTAATGCAGAGCTGTATAGGCTCGTACTCCATCCCCAACGGTTCCAGCTGCTTCTGTCCACGTGACCTTTTCTGGTTTATGAACTACCACAAAGAGGAAGAGGAAACAACCCATTAGCAAGTTCCATTAGTAAAACTGCCTCCTGATTAATTTCTGTCTATGTCTGCTACCATGGGCCGTGGTACAATACAAGCTCCGGGCCCTGTTATCTCTCATCTATCTGCTTTACATTTCCCTGTTTAAATGCTTCCCCATGGTGAGTATATTTCTTCAACTCTTTATTGTGAAACAGAACACACGCCCAAAGCACAGGAAACATAAAGCACAAGAATAAATGTAAGCCGGGCGTGGTGGTGCATGCAGCACTCGGGAGGCTGAGGCAGGAGGATCATTGCGAGTTTGAGGCCAGCCTGAACTGCATAGTGAGACCTTGTCTCAAGAACAGCAAAAGAATAAATGTAGCCAGATGTGGTAACAACACTCAACATCTCAGTACTCAGGAGGTTGAGGCAGGAGAATCACTAAGCTCAAAGCCAGCCTGGGCTACTTGGTAAGTTCAAGGCTAACCTGAACTACACAGCAAGACCCTATTCTCAACACCCTGCCCTGCCAAAAAAGTCTGAACCCAGTCTGGGCAACTCGGTGACGAAGAAAGAAACTGACTCAAAATAAAAAATCTTAAAAAAAAAAAAAGAAAGGTTTGCCCCAATATAGCAAGAGCAAGAACAAAGAAACACACCCTGGTGCTGGACTCTCGGCCTCGAGAGCTGGGACTGGGCCGGGGGCAGCCTGGGCCTGACACCTAAACCCAAGGGGTCATCCTGAACCAGGCATCGCTGCGCGCCAGCAGCCTCCTCTCTCCCCACCAGAGGTCGCCCCACGCTGACTGTCTCACTCCAGGACACTTTCCTAAACTGTCATTTAATTTTGCCTGGTTTTGAACTTTATCAAAATAGACCTGTATCTTATGCCTTCTTTCCTATCTTACCTTTGCATGTCTTCAGGGTACATCCTTTTTGAGTTCTTTCATTTGGGGGGCTCTTGTGGTGCTTTCATTCATTCATTCATTCATTCACTTTTGGCAGCACTGGGATTTGAACCCAGGGCCACTGCACTGAGCTACGTCTTCAGTCCTTTTTTATTATTTTTATTTTGAGACAGAGTCTAAGTCATTAAATTGACCAGGCTAGACTTGAACTTGTGATCCTCCTGCCTCGGCCTCCCAGAGGGCTGGGATTACAGGTGTGCACCATCACACCTGGCTTCCTTTCTGTTATCCACTATGTGGAATCATCTTTGGTTACCTTTCTCCAGCTAATGAACATCTGTACTGTCTTTGGTCTTTAGCAGTTACACAGAATGGTACTAAAAATGTTCTTGTATAACGATTTTCTTGCAGGATTTTCACTGAGATACTTACTTTAGAGTAGGAATTCCAGGTGCCAGAGCGTATCACTTTTACCTTAACTACATACTTTCAGAGTGTGTCCAGTGCTTTTTTGTAAAAGCCTTTGTCAATGCTCCATAGTAGATTTATTCATTTTTTCCTATCATGTGGACACATAAGGGTTTCTTACTGTGATTTTGCTTCCCTTGATTTCTTCAAAAGGTTGAGCATCTTCCCATATTTGTTGGCTTTCTGGAATTCCTTTTGTGAAGTGATCAAGTCTTTGTCAAATTTCCTAGTCTTTTTCTTAACTGATACATAGAAACTCTTTGCATAGTCTAGTACATTGTATATGCATATCTCTACAAGGTAATGATTCCTTATTTGCAATGCTCCAGATGGGAAGTGTTTTGCATTTTGGCCTATTTACATAATGTGCTATTGTGAGTATAGAACCTATGTCTAAACATGAAATTTCATTAATTTTCCCTTATACTTTTACACATAGCCTTAAAGTAATTTTATACAATTTTTTTTCCTTTTTTAATATAATATTTTTGGTGTATGTTCATTTTGTTTTGGGTCTCGCTATGCAGTTCAGGCTGACCTGGAGCTCACTTTGTAGCCCAGGCTAGCCTCAAACTTGCAACAGTCCTCCTGCCTCAGCCTCGAGAGTGCTGGGATTAAAGGCGTGTGCCACCACACCCAGCAGTGTATGTTTGTTTTGACTGCAACCTATCACATGAGATCAAGTATGCAATTGTTCACTTGTGGCACTATGTTGGTACTCACCAAGTTTTAGATTTTGAAGTATTTTTGTGTTCAGATTATGATGACCAAGCTTTATTTAACTTTATAGCTTTTGTTTTCTTTTTTTTTTTTTTGAGACAGGGTCTCACTATGCAGGCTGGCCTTGGGCTCACTTTGTAGCCCAGGCTGGTCTTGAACTCACAACAATTCTCCTGCCTCAGCCTCCCGAGTTCTGGAATTATAGGTGTGTGCCACCACACTTGGCTATGGCTTTTGTTTTTAGTTACTAGCATGAACTCTGAAAATAAGTGTTGGAATGATTTTTTTTAATTTTTGGAATGATACTTTTTAAACATAAGTAATATCCTGAAGCTTCTCTGCCTAAAATCCATCAATGGGCTATAATCCCATCACTTAAGAGGCTGAAGGAGGAAGATGGCAAGTTTGAGGCCAGCTGGGGGTAACAATGAGATACTGTCTCAAAATAAAAATCAAAACAGCTGCAGATATTACTCAGAGCTCCCTGGGTGCAAGTCTTAGTACTGGGAAAAAATAAATGGATAGGTTTCCACTGCACTTGCAACAAAGTATGTACTCTTTTTAAAAAGTTCTATGTGATTTGACCATCCTGTACCTCCAGATGTTTCACTATTAAATTTTTGAGTTCATGTTGTATATTGAACATAATTCTTTTCACAACACAAGCAATCTTTCCTCATTCTACCTCAAACCAACTTATCCTTTTCACAGCCCTCACTAGCTCTTCCAAATGTGGTTCTTCTAATGGCAATAGAGTTAGGTGGACTGGCCACAGGTCATTAGCACTGCATCAACAACACTCCAGTGCCATTTAGTGGGAAAGCGGAGCACTCAGACAAACATGTTGAAAGTGTTTAGGCAGATGAGCAGGAAGTAAAAACTGCATGAACACAGGAAGTACCAAGTAATAGCTAATACAGCACTTCATTTCCTATGAAATTCTTTAAGACAGATATAGATAAATTTGGGGGGTGTTTCATCATTGTTTTCTGGCTCATAAGTCCCATAGCCCTTATTATTTCCTGAATGACTAGAACAATAAGCATAATAAGCGTATCTTTTTTTTTTTTTTAAATCTTTTGTCATGGTTCCTAAAGCAGGTTCAGAGCAATAAAGGTAAAGACAGGCTTTTATAATGCTAGGGTGCAAAGCCTCTGTCTCTTTGTCTGTGCTTCTCTTTCTCTGTTCTGCTGTCTTTCTTTTGCCCTCCCTTACCTGCTCATTTTTCTCCCCAGTGCAGGCCACAGAAACTAGAAATTCTTTTGTCCAAGGCAAGTCAGAGAAACTAAAAATGTAGCATCATCTTTTCTGGCCTGTCTCGGAGCTGGCCTGGCCATACAAAATTCTGACATACCTTATCTGAAAGCAGATCTTAAGGCCTTCACTTCATAGGGGTCTGGCCCCATCTCTGGGAGCAAGGGATGCTGCAAAGAGGCCAAGAAGCTTCTGAACACAGAGGCCTTGCTGAGCTTCTCCACCTGGTCTTTCACATGAGGTAGCATGCTTCCTGTCTAAGCACATCTCCCTGTGGCTGCCCATGCTTCAGTCAGGCCTGTGCAATGCAGCCCCCATTTAAAAATATCCAAAGGGACAGCGGTGGAGACGGTCTCGCCAGGTTAACGTGGACGCTTGCAGGAAGGTAACAAGACTCGGCCACACGCTGGGAGGTGACCCAGCTCGACAGGGACAGAAGAGCCTGTGCTCAGGGCTCTTCCACAGCTCGTCCTGTGAGTGTCTCCAGCTGGCTGCTCATTCCCACCCTTTAAGCATCTCTCATAAAGACCAGGCAAATAAGGTGAATGCATGCCTCTAAACACATCTACTCTGACTCTTCACGTTCCACCTCTGTACAATTCATTTATTTATGTGGTCTTCTGGGTCGGGGGGAAGCACTTCCATCTTAAGAGCTGAGTCTGCTATATTTTATCACACTATCAATCATGCAGTCCTTAACACTAACGGTGATAAACTGGGTTTAAGATTTTAAAGATTCTGCCAGGTGTGGTAGTGCTATAATCCCAGCATTTGGGAGGCTGAGTCATCAAGGAGGATGAATGCCTTGAGTTCAAGGCCAGTGTGGTCTACATACTGACACCTTCTCTCAAATAACAAAAGGCAAACAAAAAAAATCAAATTGCATGGTTAAATGTGGGTTAAGATCCTTGCTTTTGTGTTAGGTAGTCAATGGGTCTAAAAACTAACTAAATAAAAGACAGCCATATATAGATCAATAGTAACTGTATCAGTACTAAAAACTATAATTTCACATTGAATTATAATTTCATTTCTTTCTCATTTAGATCCAAAAATAATAAAAAGACAGTGCTGAAATGTGTCAAATTTTGAATGAAAAATAAAATGATGTTTGACAGAATGGCTTCAGAACTGCAAGAAGAAAGGAGTGGGAAGAAGCACTCAATTTTTAAGCTGTGTCATCAACACTGGGTAAGGGAACAGCGCACTTTGGGAGGTTGTCTAGGGCCTTGCTCCTTGGTGTGGTGAAAGAACAGACTCATTTGTGTTGAAGGGGGCTGAGCACTCAGCTCTCCGCCAGCAATCACTAGGCAAAGAAGGAACAAACTCCGAGCCGTGGTAAAATACAATTTGCTCCTGCCAAGGTTCATTAAACACATGGAAATTATTCCCCTCTCCACAAGATGTTGGCGCTGCAGACACAATACGGAGGTTGTCCAGCGGAGTGCACGCCCTCACAGATAGTATGCCTCGGAGCTAGCATAAGTCACACTGTCAGTGCTCTTTCTTTCTTTTTTTTTTTTTTTCTGGTACTGGGAATCGAACTCACGACGTTGTGCATGCCAGGCAGGCGCTGTGCCGCTGAGCTAAATCCCCAGCCCCTGTCAGTGCTCTTTCTTAAAGTACTTCTTTTGAAGAAACACTGTATTGAGTTTTCTTTCTTAAAGAATCTGAAATTGTTTTTTCCATATACTCTGATGGATTATATGGTTTATAATCCACCTTCTTGATTTACAAATCATCAGGAAAATAAAAGGTCATTTGTATGGTTTGCCTGTGTTAGCTTAAACTTTCAGGATATTGATGTTCTAATTTGCTTTGTTTCTTCTGGTCCATATGATAATTCTCCAATATTCGGTAACACCTGAAGGAATGGGCCTTATTGGTGTTTCCTTAACAGCTCACTTTCTTTTTTTTTTCCGGTACCAGGAATTGAACTCGCAACCTCATGCTTGCCGGGCAGGCGCTGTACCGCTGAACTAAATCCCCGGCAACAGCTCACTTTCTATAGCAATTTAAATTAGTAAAAACTGAAGCCTGCGACTCCAGACTAAAGGGTTTAGCTGACCTCATACTACAAAGTTCTCAAAGGAATAGGGCAGTAAGGGTTACACAAGGAATCTCTAGGACCACTTTTCGAACTGCACAATCTTAAAATAGCTATGGATCAGAGATTTCCACCGCACAGTATTTGAAAGAGATCTTCATCTTTCAAAAGAAGACATATACTTGGCTCTGTATATAGGCTCACTACTCATCTAAATAAGCACAGTTTTCAGATTTCTGGAAAATGGTCCTTTAAAAATTAATTTTTCATGAAGTATACAATTACTTGAAAATTTAAGGCACAATGGTGCCATTAATTTAAATATGACTTACTTAATAATTTATTACTTTAGAAATGCAATCCCAATGCTTGCTAGCCTAGTTCAAGTCACTGTATGGGCTCAATTGTATACATATACCCGTTTTGGTAGTCCAAAATACAAATTAGCTTCTGTCCCCAAAAGGTAGGATTAGGGATTTTATTATTTAAGACAACACTTAAGAAAACTTTTAATAAAATAGTTTAAGAACACAAATCAAGGGGCTGGGGATTTAGCTCAGCGGCACAGCACCTGCCTGGCAAGTGCAACGTCATGAATTTGATTCCCGGTACGAGAAAAAAAAACAAACAGAAGAAAAAAAAAGAAAGAACACAAATCAATATGCTTTGACCTGTAGAAATAGTACGAAGAGCACTGAATCATGGCATAAGAAACATGGGCTGGGCATGTAGTTCCGCGGCACAGTGCCTGCCCGGCAAGTGCAAGGACACACTGGCTGTATCACACACTCCCTGTGTACCACTATCCAGATCACATCCTCCTTGCATGTCCACCAAGGTACCCCCCACCTGACTCTGCACCCTCTTCTTTTGCACCTGTAATACTATATGTCTGAAATTATGTCTTTGAACTTTTTCATTTTTTAATTCGAGATAGGGTCTTGTTAAGGTGCCCAGGTTGGGCTTGAACTTGCAATCCTCCTGTCCCAGCCTCCCAGAGGGCTGGGGTTATAGGTATGTACTACCATGCCTAATTGCGACTTGCTTTTAATTTTTATTTTTTTGTGGTACTAGCTATTGAACTCAGGGCCTTCACATTGAACTACATCCCCAGCCCTTCTAAAATGTTTTTTAAGATAGTGTCTCACTAAATTGCCCAGGCTAGGCTCATATATGTAATCCTCCTGCCGCAGTTTCTGAGTGCTGGGATTACAGGCGTATGTGGCATGCCTGGCTGCACCTGGCTTTTGTTTTTGTTTTTCTTTTGAGACAGGGTCTCACCACGTAGTTCAGGCTGGTCTCAAACTCACTATGTAGCCATGCTGACCTCAAACTCAAGGCAATGCTCCTGCCTCAACCTCTTTTTTTATTTTTTTATTTTTTTATTTTTTGGTTTTTCTCCGGTACCGGGAACTGAACTCACGACCTTGCGCTTGCCAGGCAGGCGCTTTGCCGCTGAGCTAAATCCCCAGCCCCTGCCTCAACCTCTTGAGTGCTGGCATTACAGGCGAGTGCCACCCTGGCCGGTTGCCACTTGTTTCTAAACTTAGTTTGTTTGTGCGATTCATCCATGCTGACACAAATGGCTCTTACTCTGTCACTGTCAAGGCTGTGTAGAATTCATTCCACTTACATCTTTACTTAGTCGTTCTCCGGCAGATGGACATTTGGACTGTCCCCTGCTTCCTTCACTATTACAAACCACGTCCCAATGAGCTCCGGCCTCACCTCCTGGTACACACCAAGTTTCCGTAGGGGATGTATCCGGAGAATTGGCACATCTGGGGTATATGTATCATCTCCTTTCCTAGATCACGCTAACTGATTTCCTAACACATTAGTGATCACTTGGACTCTTGTTGCATAAAAAGTTTCACTGTAGGGCCGGGGATATAGCTCAGTGGCATAAGTGCTTGTCTGGCAAGCCTGAGGTCATGAGTTCGATTCCCGGTACCAAAACAAAAAAGTTTCACTGGCTCATGTCCGTGCCAATACTTGGCATCGTATAACTTTAATGTTTGTCAGTCTCATGGGTACCTGATAGTATCACTATATAGTTTTAAAGCAAAATATTTAGAGAATGGGTATCACTGTGTCACCTAGGTTGACTCTGAACTCCTGGGTTTAAGTTATTCTCCTGCCTCATCCCCACACCCAGGTTCTAAGGGGTCTTAATTTGCTTTTCTCTAATTACTCAGGTGATGGGGCATCTTTTTACTATGGTTTTATGGAATGTGTGTGTGTACTGGTTGTTTGTACTTTTTAAAATTTAAATCTTTTGAGACAGGGCCTCCCCATGTAGTTCAGGCCGAACGTGAACTCACTAGATAGTCCAACGTGTCCTCAAATTCATGGTGATTCTCCTGCTTCAGCCTCCTGAGTGCTAGGATTACAGGCATATGCTACATCTGGCAATTAAAACTGAAATATTTAGAATATAAATTACTACGGGAAAATTAAAAATGAATACTAGTCAAAAGATATTAGATATTAGCAAAGGAAACCAAACATAGTTTCTTAATTCTTTCCTATCAGACTCTACATATACTGCCTAAATTTTGTTTATCTTTGTTTCATGGTGGCTCGTGCCTATGGTTTTACCACTAGGGGGCTGAGGCAAGGGGATTGCAAGTTTGAGCCCAGCCTGGGCAATTTAGCAAGACCTTGTCTCAAAATTATAAAAAAAAATTTAAAAATTAAATAAAAGAGCTGAGGTTGCAGCCGAGTGTGAAGGCCCTGGGTTCAATTCTCAGCGCTGGAGGAAGAAAAAAAAAAAAATCAAGAGTGGCACAGCATGTATCTTAGGGGTGGAATGCTTGCCTGGCATGTGTGAGCCCTGGGTTCCAGTTACAGCACTGGAGAGAGAAAAAAGGCAACAACCACCACCAAGAGCAGCTTGGTATGGTGGCATACACCTAGAATCTCAGCACTGAAGATGCTGAGGCAGGAGGACCACAAGTTCAAGGTCAGCCTGAGCTACATGGCAAGTTCAAAGCCATTAAGGCCAGACTGGACCACATCCAAAACAAACAAATACAACAGTAACAACAAAAACAAGTAACTTAAAGGTTCTGATAAACTGCAGATCCTAGTCAGAAAATTCTGTAGACAGAAAACTTTCTTACCATAGCAGTATTGGTAAAACTCCAAGGTCTATATACTGTTTAGTGTCAATGGGAACTTTATGAAGAGTTACATGCTAGAAGTAGCCACAGGACCAGCCAACATTTATTTACGATGTTCATGACTAGGCAACAGTTATACTATATGTCACCAACCTAAAACTTAGAGAAGCTCCCAAAGAGCAAGCTGCCACATACCCAAGTAATGCTCATGTACTCTGACAACTTCACAAAGTCCTGGGTCTTCAGAATCCAGAGGCAAAATCCCTAAAAATTAAAACAAGAAATTGAGGGGAACCAAGCCAATAATGAATTCACTCTTTTTTGAGACAGAGTTTCACTAGGCAGTTCAGGCTGGTCTTGAACTCACTATGTATCCCAGGCTGGCCTTGAACTGGCAGCGATCCTCCTGCCTCAGCCTCCCAAGTGCTGGGATTACAGGCGTGCGCCACTACGCCTGGCATGATTTCACTCCTAATAAGGCATATTCGTGTAAATTTTGTTCAGTAGGCAAAGGAGAGGCTTCAGCACTCTGGAAGTGGACCATACGTTTTCTATCATGGATGCGCACACCTGTGCCATCTCTCTTACTCCACAGTTTTTATCAGTGCATGCTGGTAGCGGATGCACGGGTTTCCTTTTGGAGATTTGTATACACATGTAACACACTGCAACGATCCCCGCCCTGTCACCCTATGTGTGCTGTTGTCCCCCCCAGTTTCACTCTTTTGGGGGATTTCAATGTGAATAATGTAGTTTGATTATATTCACCCCCCATCTCCCCCACCATTCTTTTCTTCTTTGTTAGTAATAGTCTTTCCCTTTGTCATCTTTTTAAAATTGTACTTAGTAGGAGGAACACACAATATTTCTTTCTGGGTCTGGCAAATAATGCTCAATGTGATGATCTCTAGATGTATCAATTTAACTGCAAATGACAAAACTTTGTTCTTTTTTATGGCTGAATAATACTCCACGGTGTATCTATTACATTTATTTTACCCACTCATCCCTTAGGTTGGTTCCCGATCTTGGCTAATGTATACTGTGCTGCAACGAACAGGGGCATGTTAGCTTTACCATCACTGAGACATAATATTGCACACCAACAATTTAAAGGAAGCAAAGCTTAATATAGCTCACAGTTTCAGGAGATTCAGTGCATGGTCAGTAGGCGCCAAGGCAAAAACATCATGGTGTAAGAGCATGGAGGAACAAAAACTACTTAGTTCATGGCAGCTGGGAAGCGGAGAAGGGAAGCAATGGCAGAGGAACGGGTAAAGGATCATATATGTGGTAGTACCCACGGTCTCGCCCCCATGATGCACCCAGACACACATCTCGGAGTGTGCTTTACTAGCCTGCTAGACATTCCTTAATCCAGTGAGGTTTCTATACCAGGATTAACAGCTATGATGGATAGCAGGTATCGCTATGACATCCTGAGTTTAGTTCCTTTGGATATACAGCGAGGACGGTATAGCCGGCTCAAATGGTAGCTCAACTTTCAGATTTTTGCAGAACCTTCATACTGATTTCCACACTGGTTATACTAATTTACATTCCCACCAGCAGGCCCCCCCTGCCACGTGCTTTCTTCTCAGCATTTCTTGTTTTCTATGCTTGATGACAGCCATTCTGACTAGGAGAGATGGAATCTCAATGAAATCTGACTTGCATTTTCCTGTGCTACCCCTTTCTTTCTCTTACATGGAAATGACAGTAGGATCACAGCCAGGAGCCAAATCAGAATCTCAGGGGCGCTTACGTTCTGGTTAAAACTGTCTCTGATGCAGTCACTCCCACAGCTTAGTCCGTAAGACAGGGCTCGTAGGTTTCCAACAAAATCCCGCTTTCCCCTAAGCTAGTTCAATTTTATTTTTGGTCTCTCACCAAAAAAATCTTGAGTAATATAGAATGCCACTGACTTCCAGGGCAGAAAAAACAAAACAAAAAACCCCCCCAACAATTTATCAATCTCCAGGAAAATAACTGAGTCAAAGGCAATCCTGTACAAAGCTCTAGAAAACCTTACAAATCCTGCTTTTTTTCCTTATTTTTTTCCAGTACTGGGGATTGAATGCAGGGCCTCACGCATGTACACATCTATTCTTTAGTGGCTTCAAACATGTCATAAAGACTAAATATCTTCCATGTTCACATGAGTATTTTCTATAAAGATATAGAATAAAAGACAAGAATTTCAAAGACTATCGTGACAGTTATACTCTATGTTTGGGCGACTATCTAGGATACAAATACAAAACTAAGCAGGCAAAATATGATCTCATAAATTATGCATTTTAAAAAATGATATATTAAATGTTTCAAGTCAGTTTTTAGTTTTGTGAGACCAGTAAGGAGCTCCGTAGGTTTCTGTCAGTGTGGACACAGACTCCAGTCAGTCCCAGCCGGTCAATGGTCTTCAAGCACCGGACTGCACTGGACACATCGCCTGGCTTCTGACCCAGGACCAGCCAGGAGAGGACTACACTGAGCACAGCAGCCACTACCTTTTCCTTGTTTTTAATCTGTAATTATTCTATAGCCAAATAATTGACAAGCTTTAAATGTTCTGCTAACTGGGATCAAACTCTTATTTTCTTCATCAATGAACATTTAAGAGTAACCAAAACATTTTTTTTTTTGCAGCACTGGGAAGTGGACTCGGGGCCTCCTGCACGTTAGGCAAGTGCTCTACCATGGGCTACATCCTCATTCCACGAAAGTACTTGTCTATGAAGCAAGGTCATAATGAACATTAATCATTATAGAGGAAAGAAAAGAGATGCCAATAAAACAGATGGTTTGAAATAAGAGCATGCACTGCAACTTACCAACTACTTCATCATCTGGTTGAAAGAATGATACCTTGCTTCCAACTAGAGTGGACAAAATTAAGTTACATTACAAGGTCACTGAATTCAATTTTTATTTAAAAAATATTTTATTTTACTCTTAAAACAAATAAAAAGATCCACAGATCTATGTTTATGTTGTTTTCTACTCCGCTCCAACCCACTCCTTGGCTAGATCAGTCATCTATCATTATTGCATCTATCATTGCAAAATGAGAGCGACATATAAACTACTTTGGTTGGGACATAAATTCAGCTTGGTACTAAGAAAGTCTTGGTACTTTACACAGTAGTTACTTTTTCTCTGCATATGTAGCCAAAAAGCCTCTACTGTAAGTAAATTCAGTACAGTATTTTGCTTAAAGAGTTATAAGAGGAAATGGGAGGAAAAAATAAACTGTTAAGTGCCTACTTTACTGTGTTCACACACTTAATATTCTCAACAGACCCATAAAGTATTATTTTTCCTATTTTTAATATATTTTTATTAGTACATGTTAAGTTTATGAAATACTGGATTTCATATTCTTTCTGTTTTACAGATGGTGAAGTAATCTGGAAGTGGCCTTTGGCTAACTGTCAGCAAAATGGCTCAGAACTCAGCTGCTAGTACTCAGTAAGTATCCAACCCGGGGTTCCTCTTTTGCAGTTCGGTTCTTCCAGGAATTCCTCCTGTACCATTCTTTTTTTTTTTTTTTCCGGTACCAGGAATCGAACTCACAACCTTGCACTTGCCAGGCAGGCGCTATGCCGCTGAGCTAAATCCCCAGCCCGCTCCTCTACCATTCTTGCCAATATTTTTAGCTTTCAATCCCTTGTCCTTTTTTCTTTTCTGCTACTGAGCCATTTCCTCCTGTGACTACTTTCTTTCTGGGTTCTTTTGCTTGCCTTTTCTTTCGCTCATCCCTTAAGTGGCATTCTGAGAGGTTCTGTTTGCTCTTCTCCATTTCTCCTCTCTCTGGGTAAGCTCCTTAATTTTATTATTACAAATACAATCTATATGCTGATAATTCACACATAAACATTTCCAGCATTGATCTCTCAATCTCATCCTTTAGATTCAATTCATATAAGTCAAAGACTGTTTAGAAACAAATTATAACTGTTTAACTTTTAAATGCTCAATGTAAGGTAAACTTTAAAAATTTAATGTGACATAGTTACTGATGATACTATAAATTTTGACCCAATGCTAACTTATACAAATAATTGTGCTGGTTTGCGAATATCATATAAAGCACAACACTGATCATTCTATTAATATATAATCACGTATGAATTTAAATATGCACCTGAGTATTTGCTGAACTGTAATCAGCAATTATACCAGTTAAACCCTAGTTTTAATTTTAAAAAGAGGCATTGACATTCTTTATAATTGTATATTTGAAGTGACATGTAGCATTTTATGTTCTGATAAACTAATTAGCTACTATTTAATTTCTTTTACCTTACAAAATAAATATTTACTTCTATAAACTTACCATCTAATACTATTCCAGCAACTTCTCTCCCAACAGGAAAGAAATCCTTTTCCATCTTCATTTCTGCCAGAAGCTAAATCATAACATAGGGTGTTAGCTCATTAGTGTCAAGAATAAACCCTGGACTTCTCATGCATGAAAAAATGAGAGCAAAAATCAAACCACAGAAAAAAGCAAATGCGATTCAATTTTTGGAATTAAGACAAAGCAATAACTTTATAAAACAGGTTTATGTGTAGGGGAGGAAATCAAGAGTTTGCTGGGGAGTTCGTGGATACATAGGACTCAGGCATGGGCATTATTATTCAAATCACCAGTAACATCCTTTGTTTAGCACCTTTGTCAAGTATGATGCAAAATTATGGTCAAATCGTCTCTTGGTTGGCTACACATTGTCTACCAGTAAACTATTCAGGTAAGGCAAGGGAGTCTGGAGAGCATATTTTGAATAAGGGAAATATGGCCAATCAGAACCAAAGGCTCTGCATACCTAAGCCCCTTTAAAGGACCGGACTCTTCCTCCTAAGTCTTGGGTTAGAAAGCAGGAGGGAAGAAGTGATGAATATTCACAGGAGAGCTATACCATAGGATTTCAGACTAATGGCTAGTGAGGTTCCTTTTTTTAAGGCTACAGCTTTAAGAGATTAGTATTTTCTTAGATTCTGACCAAATAAAGTCTTTGTCTTCTGAAGTAACAGAATACACTAAGATAAACCTGTATTTAAGTTTCTGCAATGATAATATTAGAGATGCTAGACATAACTGTATTTAAGAATAGTAAATACAAAGTAATTCAAATAATTTTCTTATATATCTCTTTTTTAGTTTATTTTTTAAGAGCTCTTGTACGTATACTTGCTTGTCAGAAACCTCTTTTTCAGTGTGGAACTTTATACTTTTCCCAAGATGTTCAGATGATATTCTTATAGAAATACTGCATACTTTACAGTATCCATGTTATACCCAGTTTTTTTTTTTTTTTAGAACAGACCTCACTATGCAGGATAGCCTTGAACTCATGACACTCCTGCCTTAGCCTCCTGAGTGCTGGAATTACAGAGATGGGCCACCACATTCCCCTTTTATATTTATTTTTTACCATGGCTTTAGCAATTGTATCTTGTTTTCTTCACTTACCATGAGGATTTCACACATTACTACACAGTTTTCATAACAATTATATTTATCAGTTATGTACTATTTTATTCAACTGACTTCTACCGTAATTTATCATTTCTTTATGTTAGGGAGAGTCTTTCCTAGGTTTGGATTTTAATAGATTTTTCAGTGTTTTAAAAAGAATATCTTCTGAACATAGATATCTGTAGACAAGGACTAGTACTAATATTCACATTCTTTTCATTTTTTGAGACAGGGTCTCGCTATGTTCTTCCAGCTGGCGTTGAACTTGCAGTGATCCTCCTGCCTCTGCCTCTTGAGAGCTGGGATTACAGGCATGCATCACCACACTGAACAGTATTTATATTCTTTGTGAAAAGATTTCAAGGATGCTCACGAATTCATGTTTCAAGTAACATTCACCTTACACATTTGTTCAATGGAACTCTATAACCCTGTTCTGTAATTTTCTGTTAAGACTTTATCAAAGAAAACTTCTAGAAATTTAAAAATTTTTTTTTTTTTTTTTTTTTTTTGGTCTTTTTGAGATAGGGTCTCACTATGCAGCTCAGGCTGGCCTTGAGCTCACTTTGTAGCCCAGGCTGGCCTTGAACCGGCAGTGATCCTCCTGCCTCAGCCTCCCAAGTGCTGGGATTACAGGCATGTGCCACCACGCCCAGCTAAAAAATTTTTTTTTAACTTTTAGAAATTTTGATAGAAACTGTGTTAACGTTATAATCTAATAAGTTCAGGGTCCAATAAACAATGGTAACAATGGAGTAAATATTCTACTCATCATGGCACATTTAATCATAGTGCACCATGTTTAGAATTGTCATATATTTTTATGGTCAATAATGACAGATTACTGTGGGATGGTGCAAGAGTGGAGATATCTATTTATGAGCAGGGAGAGGAGAGGAAAGGAGAGGAGAGGGAGAGAAACAGAGACAGAGAAACAGACAGAGAGGGAAATAGTAAACAGAGTATAAACCATATCTAAAGACATTAATTAGAATTATCTACAGAAATGATGGTTAATAACTTAATGGATTTGGTTTCTAGCCTCTATTTTTATCATGTATAGAAAGGTGGTCTATTCCTTTATAGACCTTAGTAATTATAAGTTCTCAACATTTTACAAAGTAAGTAAGTTTATAAAATATTTTATTTTATTTATTTATTTTTGTCTTTTTGAGACAGGGTCTCGCTATGCAGTTCAGGCTCGCCTTGAGGTCATTTTGTAGCCCAGGCTGGTCTAGAACTCACTCTCGAATCCCTCCCGAGTGCTGGGATTACAGGCATGCACCACCACGCCCAGTCCTGTTCAGTTCTTCTTAGGATAATAATTTCTTGGCACTCAGAAGTCAGTTACTATATTTATATACTAAATGTACTGTGAAACTTTCATTTAACTTTTGGCTTTTATTATAAAATACCAATACCTTTGTATTTATCTGGCTTAGAGCACAAGCTTTAACTTGAAGCTTCACAAAGTAATCCTCTGTCACAGGAAGATTTTCCTAGAATCAAATATTAACCAAAAAATTCTTATGAGAACATTTCTTTATATTGTGGAAATTTTTGTAATTAAAACAAAATTACAAGATGCTTTAGGGTTTATATTTTTTAAAATCTCAGATACCAACATGGAGCAACAAGTATTGTACTTTATTTCAACCTAAATAATCTCAAAGCATCAGACCTTCATACAGGGATATCTTTACACATATAAAATATTTTTTACTAATATTTGGAATTTTCTTATACCATAAATGAAATTTAAAGTCAATTGTTCATCTTGTCCTTAATATCTTGGACATTTCAGCATGTCTCATGGGATTTGGGGATCAAAATACAAACTCAGTGCAATTTAATTCCCTGTCATATTTCACAGCTAGATATAATTTAAAAGGCAAAAACATTTCAAATTCAGGCATTTAGTGCCATCCAAGCGAGACTATTAAATATACTGCACTTGGGCCAGGGATGTAGCTCAGCAGCATAAGCGCTTGCCTGGCAAGCCTGAGATCATGAGTTCGATTCCTGGTACAAAAA